AAGACTAGAAGGTCCCGAAGAAACGTGCTCAACTTTTTGGCTCAGCGCTGGTACTATCTTCGGTCCCAAGCTAATCGATGCACCCCATGAAACATAGGAGAATCCACGAACCCCTCATTCTATCTGTCAAACTTACATAGCAAATCAAAACAAACATAGTGCAGTACTAGAATTTCGAGTAGAATGGGATACGTAAATCGATTTTCTAGGGACCAATAGGCTAGTCAAGTAGCGAGCCAATTTAAAATCGTTAGTTGTCACCGGTTGGTAATACCCAGCATTCCGGAAAAGTACTCCAATATTGTATAAGTTTGGTCGACACTTCTCGCGTTGGACAAATTGGAAGCGTTTGTCGCAGGTGACCTAAAATCATCAATCTTTTGCTAGGTATCATGGGTCACAGTTCAATTTATCGTTGTCCATATTCCTGCACAAGTAAGTCCATGATTTCTCTAGAGAGCAAGGTTCCAAAAACGTTGGATTTAATAAACACAAGTCACGTAAAATGGAAGACTGATGGTGCTGATGATAAACGAGCAAAGTATTTTTATAATTGCGTTCAAAAACCAATATTGTATGGAGCTCCTAATCAAAGAACTGTTCTGCTTTGTCCACCACCCGTGCTCCATATCGTACTTGGGATCATAAACGCCATTTATAACGTTGTTGAAGCTGTTGATCCAACAACTGCTGAACAGTGGGTGAAGCTTAGTTCATGTCAACGTCATAGCAAGTATGGCTTTACAGGTAGAAACTGCCACAAATTACTGGAGAAGAGAACTTTGTTGAAATCTGGTGAACCGCTCAGTATTTTCAAAAATGTAAGAATTCAATTTAACTTTTCTCTTATTATCATTAACTTAATTGTAGGTACTTGACCGTTTTGCTAAGGTCTTCAAAGCTTGCCTTCAAGAAAACCAAATTTCTGGATATCTGCAGAGAATTGAAGAATTTGCAGTTAGCTGGATTCAGGCAGGACTACCAAGTAGCTCCAAGTTCCATATCTTACGCTTCCATGTTCCAGAGTTCTGCAACTTCGTAGGATAGTGGTAAGCGTGATTACCTCTCACCCCAGCAGGACTGGGTTCAATCCCAGTCGGCCTCACCGGGGTGTTCTGATGCACAACATCTCTGATCACGCCTTCCATCGGAAGGGAAGTAAAGCCGTTGGTCCCCGGTTCATGAGTTGATGGGTCGATATGTAGGGTCTAGGTGTGGGAGCTGTCTACATGGCGTCGGTAGCATTGGTGCACAGTACGGAAAACAAGATCGACGGAAAACAAATTAATGAAAAAAAAAACTATAAGGGACAGCCTTATGGGATTGTACGCAATGGTGACGTAGGACTACGTGGTCTTATATAATAAATCTTATTTGTTAACTGCAGCAGGAGCTTGTGTTTTGTGTAGGAATAGGAATTTGAGCGGAGTTCTCTCTATTTATACTCTTTAGTATGACGCACTTGACATAGATGGCCCACAGCGACTCACGAAGAGCTACTGATTCCGATCAATAGCTGTGCGGATTCTTCCTCCTTCTATGGATGCTCGCTGCATGCAGGCAGTCTTTCGTTGTGTATTGGAGAAAACCACCACTCACTACGCGGTGATTTAATAAACACCGTTTGGTGAGACCGGATGGAATTCCACTTTGAAATCTGTGTTAGGGAAATCGCTTTTCGCAGGCCATCGGAGATACTTTAAATTATCATAGTAACAATTCGTGCAATTTTCAGTAGTGACATTTTGAAAAATTAAAAAGTCTTGCAAAGTCAAAGATGCGTAGAAATATTTCTGATCCATTGGTGACAAAATTATTGAAATTGGTTCAGGGGCATCTGTGTTATTAACGTTCAAAATCTTTCATACTTTTGTTACATGTTCCATTTTCGGTTTTCACAAAATGTACCCCCATTTATAAATCACAGACGTAGTCCTACGTCAAAAAACTTTGTAGGATCAGGGTTGGGGCTATATGGCGAACTGGCGTGCGATACTGTCCATTTTGATTTTGGACTAACATAGCAGAAGATGAAAGTTCCAGAGACGGCAGAACATTAACTGCATTTCTTCAATCGTAAGGGGAGCATATTATACCAAGGGAATAAAACGTGTGTTTCTTATGTAAAACGGAGGGGCATTGGATGAACTTCTGCCCCAAGCGGAAGGAACGTAAACAGCCAGTAGTCCAGTGCACCAACAACAGGAAGAGGAAAACAAACAACGGAACGTAGAAGAAACCAGTACGTACACTGGTGTATAGTGAATGGAGGTGCGTAGTCAATGAACAACGATAAAGATATAGATCAAGCAGTTGAAGTGCTGGAAGAAGAGATAGTGAACATGGATGTGACGTCCCCGGATGTCGAGGGCACGGAAGAAAGCGGGAGCTAAGCTCAAGTCATTAAGAAGAGAAATAAGAACTCATAAACATTGTCCCTCATTAATATAGTATTGAAATTAAATTTAAAAAATTCTGGTTTTCAGCTCCTTGGAATCCATGGACATTTGAGCCAAACAAATAAACAAATTGAAACAAGATTTTTATTCCTTCATCAGCAAAATTTTGCTGGATTTAGCAGAGCTGGAAATCCAGCAAAAAAAATCTGAATAATCAGCAAAACAATCCAACATAAAAATGACAACCGTAGAAACTATAGAACCAGCTAAACTTGCTGGTTGTTCAGTGATACGGAAGAGGAAATAATGTCATATGTTGTTGCACGTTTATTGTATCTAGGCTATCCAAAAATAACTTCGAAATTTTGCACTTGGTCACGATTTAAAATCAATAAGTTGTTATCATTGAACACCTTCGGTTTTTGCTGGATATTAAAACCGCGAAATTTTCGAGTTAAAATATAAGGAAAATCAACCATCCCCCCCCCCTCCCCTCTCACATTTCGTCTCGCTTTTCGTATACCTAATGCATTACTTGTCACACATTTGTAAACTCCACCTTCCTTTTTAGAGCATAACGTACTTAATGGATGCTCCCTAAAAGGATTCTACCACTTCAAACCGAACAATGGATGTCTTAAGTAACATTGATCGATTTTCTCTTTCGTTAATAACTTGACTACAGAACCATTTCGTGTCATGTTTGCTGTATTAATTGCTAGATAATAGCTTCTTTCATCGAACTGTGTGTAGAAAATAGTTGGACTTTTTATACATAGCCGTGAGGATGCTGAGAGAAACTCAACGGAGAGAATCTGTCAATGTTATACTTGGGACCAGGCTTATTTTTTTTATTAATTATCTTTATTAAGGAGACTTTCAGTCCTGGGCTGGTTCGTCTCCAGGACACCAGGCTTATTAATCGTAAACGTCTTCAATGGGAATTTGTGTTAAAGACGTTAACGTCATTAACAACCCTGCTTAGGATCTAATCCATTGTTCAGCTTGATTTGTTTGTAGACGCCGATTGAGGTGCTAGAGTGATTTGAAGCTGCTCGACTACAACAGAATAGCTAGCAGTCTCTTCGTCGCATTGGATTTGTCTATTGAAACTGATATTTTGAAGCCCTCATACTCTAATTCGTTCAAAATGTACAATGGGTACACAATTCAAGCCGAACAATGAATTAGGTTCTAACTATCCTTGACCGATTCTCTTCATCGACTTTCTATTTCCGTAATAACTTGGCTACGAAACCGTTTCTAGCCGTGTTTGCCATATTAGAGGCTAGATAGTAGCTTCTTTTATCGAACTATGTGTTGAAAATAGCTGCAAATGTCTATACATGGTCGTGGGGCCAAATGTATAAAGCATTTTTACTGTAAATGCATTGGGAAGCTATTTGAGAGTTTGATCAATTTCACCCCAAATCGACATTGTCAAATTTTAAATTTCAAAGATGACCAAAAATAAACTAAACATCCATTATGATAACCCAAGTAGCACACTTCTATGGAAATAAGATGCTGCAACTTGATTATTACTGGAATAAGTTGCAAACAAGTAACCACAATTAACTACTTCATTCGAGCAGATAAAATGACGTTCGAACTTTGAAATGAAACATTATTTTGAGATTTTTTCTTCTAGAACCTCGAGAAAAGTAGCCAACATTTGTGCGTTTCATAAAAAAAATAGAAATTAGTTGGTCCAGTTTTGTGAAATCGCTGGTAGAAAGTCACGCCAAAACTGCTTGACAAAGCGGTCAATTGTTCAGTAACAAGGGTTCTGCTAGGGAAGTAGTCATGTAGAAAGCTAGGCTCCTCCCCTGATTGTAATGCCAATAGTTTAACAATGTCCTGTTTCCTAGAAATTTGACCAAATGGAACCCGGTGTACAGTACTTCGAGCTAATAGTGAATCCTAATAAATTATCTTAGTTTATCTATCAAAAATTAACGTGGACTTAATACACTGCAATACATATCGAAACGTGGCAAAACTTATGATTATCGTATTAATTTTAGACCATTCAAATGATTGATTATCGACCTAAAAAGAAAAGCAAGTGCACCAATCTTCCTTTCCCACGGATTATAGAGTAATCGATAAAAGCGCCGTTGTCTCAAGAATGGATTATCATTGCTTTAGACCGTTTTTAATATCATTCGCAGACTCCGACTAACGAACAACAAAAACGACGACGACGACGACAACAAGATGCTTTCATCTCAAGGACATTTAAGGCCGAGGCAGTCCCCAACATTGCTGTAGCGCACAACACAGCTGAGGGAAATGCGTCGCATACGTGCGTAGGAATGGGAAGAAGACACCCCAACACCATTACAGACCATGGCTCTCAGTCAGCGAGCCGAGCCAGCCAGTGAAAATATCGATTTTTCCAGCAGCAAATCTTTCAGCGCTGCGGCCATCATGGAAGCTTTTTCCTCAACTTTTCTGAGTTTAGAATAGCCACTATCATCACACCCACGCAGTTGGGAAACCAGTTCAACTAGCACGTGCCAGCCGTAGTAAATCGACTACTTGATAAGGGTCGCAAAGTTTGCATAATAATGAGTTGAAACCTAAACAGAAGCTTACCAATTTCAAATGTACTGTAATGATTCATCTTTCTTTTCGGTTGATTTCAACAAAGTGAACGCTATTTCTGATTGAAATCCATCTTATCACTAAAGCTTAACTAATCGATCACTTTCAAATCACAATTCAAACAATTCACCATGAAATTATAGAAAAATTCACTCCACTCAGAACACTCCTTTTTTCAGAATTCTGAAAGTTCTCCATCCATTATGTAAGGCTGTTGCTGTAAATTATTGCACTTAGAGGAGCTTTTCCGATTTTGCAACTTGTCTGGTCGAGGTCCTGCAGTCGACTAAATTTTCCGACCAGCTACAGCTCGGTTTTTTGAACCGAGCGAGTTTTCTTCTGGTCTACCACCCATCACCCACCGGCACCCCATTACCGCCCATCATGTATCGCCTTGCTCTATATTACAAAACAATGCCACCCATTCCAGCAAGTGGGTCCATTTCGCGCGAACTGATAAGAACGGCCACAGTCACGTGCTGGTATACGCCTGCGCATATGCTTTGTTTTGATGTAACCGGTCGTTTGGGCTAGTGTCCGCGTGATGCGCTGCAGAAGCTCAAGTACATGTCACTGAAAACGAAACTAGCTCAAGGAGTGAGTCACTTTTACTCATTCGTTTGGAGAAATTTCTAAACGCGTATTGGCAAATCAAAATTGACACTCGTGGAGAATAGAAGAACTACTATGCTACTAGTTGTGTGATGATGGTTTTAAAATTATGCATGGTGAGGTGTACAAGTGCGATCTTTGCCAATAGATTACTCATACGCTGAGTGACATACACTGAGAATAATTGTGTAGTAATTTGTACAAGATAAGCGTTTTTAGATTTACCATGTCATAAGATGATTGAAATTACGACAATTCATTTTGAATTTATCACATTTTAGTAAAAATTACCATGCACTAGTTGGAAATCAAATAGTATTTTTGACCATTAACTGTAGTTGAGCTTTTCGGCTGATAGTTTAGGCTTGAGACAAGCATAATGACAGCGGAAACGGAAAACCCGATCTGAGTAAGCCTTCTTGTTGGATTGAAAACTAATAAGAACCAAATCGACTTCGATTAGGAATGTTGATGTCATTTGGGACAACTTTCAAAATTTCCATTTCCGTTCCGCTTGCACCCACATTGCGTTTGGGCCTTTAACGTTATCATGTTTGAATCTACCATACGCCATACCATTGTATACAAACCATTTTCTTCATTCGGTTTCAACCACACTTGTAAATGGCCACCCACATTAGATCCGTTTGCGTTGCGTTGACGTAAATTAAGTATTTCATGTAATTAAATTTAATTTCGCGTAATCAGAGCAGTGCCAGTGTAATTACTGTAATTAAAACACGTACTTCAATTTGATTACGTAATTAATGTTATTAACAATTAATTTTCTGTAATTAATGTAATTAACGTACCAAAATCCTTATTCTTGAACTATTTAAAAAAAAATATGAAGAAAACCCTTAACACTCGAATGAATTAATTTATTTAAAAACTCTTCTTACACCCTGAAATACGCATATTAATGTTTTACTAGACTACAAACATGACCAATTCTGCGAATACTTATACTAAATTTCTTGGAACACCATGCTAGAGTTGGAAACTGAAATAATCCACTCGCGACAATCGATTTCACTTTCGTTTTGTACGTTCAACATAATGTCGTATCTAGTGCACTGTTTTCGTTGAATAATGCGCTTTAATGCAGAACTAGAATAAAATCGATTGTCACGAGTGGGTTATATCGGTTTACAACTCTAGCGACAATATACAGTGAAAAGGAAGTGATACTCATAATGAGGGCCGTGATTGCCATACAAATTAAATGGGAATCACTTAGACGACAAGTCTTCAAATTTTACATTTCCTTAAATTCAAGCAATTCCTCGAGCAAATTTCCTCCCGATCAAAAAAAGTTCGAATTTTAAGCCATGCTCGCAGCACAGTTCGACAGAGATGATGATATTAGCTTGTGCCTGAATTAACAGATTCAATGGAAGATGTATTTGCATTTGCATTAATTTTCTGATGTTACGCGTGAATTCTTCGATTATTTCAATATTTCTTTCAAACTTAATATTATTATACTAATAATAATTAACAGATATAAGGCAGAGTTCATTAACAAAAAAAAATATAATCAGGTTTTGGTTGCAGACACTAAGATGATTCAAACCAATTGTGTGCTTTTATTTGTATTATCGCCATCATATGATCACATCTGTATTCAGAATTGACGCGATAGCACTCCCCATTGTTCGTCTTTCCATGGGTCAACTAAACAATACTATGGGCAGAACTCCAAAACGATAGGAAACGATGAGTCCCATGTGCACAGGACACGAAATGATCGTTACCGATCAACTTGACACACTCAAGTTATCCGTGCTGGGAAGACAATTGCATACTAGCAGCGATTTTTTCCCGGAAGTAGCGCAGCGTGTGAATGTCCAAAGTATTCACCAGCTCCAGTGTCCGTTCAGCTCTTTCTCTTGGGAGGGTTTGACAATTGTGCACGGACCATACAAATTAAAAAAAAAATTGTATGGACAATTGTCTACGCAGGAGGAGGCGGGACAATAATCCAAAAAAATGTCTACGTAGTTTATGAACATCCCCTTATCGGCCTAAAAAAAAACTTCTGATCCTGCGAAATGGTCAGCGAAAGAACTACCGCCTTCTGCGCCTTTGTTACCGTTCCCGCTTGATCTTGGGCAGCATTGGTGCTCAGCACGGAAAACAAGACCGACGGAAAACAAATCCAAGGAAAAAAAATATCAATACAAACAAACTAAATATCTACATTGTGATTTTACTGTATTTTTTTTTTTAAATTTAGGACCAATTGAAAAAAAAATTAATCAAGCCGAAAATAGTACAGTTGTACAACAGATTGAAAGGAGGTGATAATTAACACTAGATAAAGCGACCACGGACACTTGCAAATGTCAAACGTGGTCGTTTGCTGTTTTCATGAACCTTACGGATATGTGCTCCAATAATGCGTATTTCCTATTTAAAATTGCATATCCACATTACCTACCGAATGACAAGATCCGAAAGCGGACATTTTTAGACTGGCTGGCAAAGGAGTTGGCACTTGAACACGTCAAAGAACGAATAGAAAGAAAAGGATTGACACATAATAGGGGAAATGCAGGTAATGTCGGCCCTAATGTCCCTAATTTGGGCCCATACATAAATTCAGCAATCGACTAAATTTTCAATAGCAACCAAAACATGTCTAGTACAACTTCTTAATTCTATTGAATCAGCATAGGGATGAAATGAAATACTGTCTTAATTCGATAATTTACTTTAGGTGTAACAGCATTCCTGGGAATATCGGATCGTGTCTGGGATAGCAAATTTGAACTCTTAATATGATCATTACGGACGGAGTTTCGTAAAATAATGAAGTTTGATATGTCACACGAGGGGTTCTGGTTGTTATTGGGAGTTGGATATTTACCCGGGGGGGAGGGACAATTAAATGGGACTGTGGACTGTCTAAGACCATTATTAGCCGTGCAAAATCATGAAGTTTGATATGTCGCACGAAGGATTTTGGTTCTTGTCGATAGTTGAAAATATACCCGGGAACACCGGAACATGCCAGGGAGGGCCAATGGGATCGTGGGCTCTCAAAAAGACCATTACTGGCCAAGTTCAGCAGAATCATAAAGTTTGATATGTCGCATGACGTGTTTTGGTTCTTGTGGAGAATCGGTCACTTGCCCGGGGACACAGGAACATGCCCGAGAGGGCTAGCGTGACCGTCGAGTCTCATTAAGGCCATTACCAGCCAAAATTTGGAAAATCATGAATTTTGATATGTCGCACGATGGGTTTTGGTTCTTGTTGAGAATTGGTCACTTCTCCGGGGGCACCGGAACATGTCTGGGAGGGCTAATGTGACCATGGACTCTCAATAAGACCATTACTGGCCAAGATTTGTAAAATCATGTTGTTTGATATGTCGCATGATGGGTTTTGGTTCTTGTTGAGAATTGGCCACTTCCCCGGGGGCACCGGAACATGTCTGGGAGGGCTAGTGTGACCATGAACTCTCAATAAGGCCATTACTGGCCTAGATTTGTAAAATCATGAAGTTTGATATGTCGCATGATGGGTTTTTCTTCTTGTTGAGAATTGGCCACTTCCCCGGGGCACCGGGACATTTCCGAGATGCCCAATGTGATTGTGAACCATCGAAATAGCTGCCACTGGTCCAATTACATCGTTTGAGAGAAAAAACATGATGTTCATCGTGTGTATACTTATTACAGAACAAAAAAACCGAATGCCGACCAAAAGTGACCCCAACGGGAACCGAAATAACTCCGGAACCATGAATTGATCAAAATATTTTCAGATGTATTCAGAAACTTCAATAGATTCAAGACAAAATGCAATTTGTTGTAAAGAAAAATATTGAGAAATTATGTTTTTAACACATGTTGATTTTTGAAATCTATGCAAATTTAGACGTTAGGCACGCAAAGGTTAACATAATTTTCTATTGTAGGGTTACGGTATGTAATGTGGGTCTAGTCCTTTCCTTCATTGGCCTATCACGCAAATAAATAATTAATTAAGGAATATTACACAAAAAATAAGGAAAATATTGATCACTGATGATTGATAAATGTGTACCACACACAAATCAATTTATATCACAACATTTCAATACATTTTCAGCTCTCGTAAGTAATAAAACTGGTTGAGAATATCACTCTGTTCGGAGTTTTTAGCCGCCATGACTTCTAAGGTTAAGATGGGAAGGTTGCACTGACGATCATCAAATGGCCTGATTATGGCATTTATTGAATGGAATTACCTGATATTACACACTAGACGTAAAACTCACAGTTACTGTTTGAATATTTTATGTTTATTTTAATTGTTTAACAACGTTTTCACAAGTAAATCATGGACCCAACTTTAGGGACACATTTCTTTTCTATGTTCCTAACTTTGGCCCATGAAATTCATTTGACAGCATATAGCAATAAGAGTAACGTCAACAATGTGGTTTGCATTTGGATGATAAGGAACGAACAGGAAGGGAGATTTTTTCTGCCAAATCTGTATAATGAACATCACAATGTTTTGATTTAGATATTCTGCGGTCGAAAGACGATAAGCGAAATTTTTAATTTTTAATTTTTAACTTGAGTGATTTAATGTAGTTTTCGTAAAATTTTCTCTAAGAAATGTTTTGAGGAATGAAGAGTATTAAGTTAACAGTGATAGTG